CTGCAGATCCAGCCCGAAAAGGACATCATCGTGGAGTTCATAAAAAACGAGGACTTCAAGTAAGTTGGTAGCTTGGTTTTTCCCTCTCTCCGTTGTCGTACTGTCCAGAAGAGCCCGGGAAGCCTCAGTGCAGGGCTTGGCTTTCAGTGGGCCCTGATGAACTTCTCGCTAAAAAGCGTGCCCTTCCTCTGGCTGGAACGCTGCTCTCCCTCTGGCTCGGGCTGGCAGGCTGGCCTGGCGTTGCGGTACGGGCTCTCCCCGGCAGCACACCTCCACCTGAAGTACTTACAACGAGGTGCAGTAAGGGAGCCGTATCAATCTACTTTTTCTTTAGCATTTCTTTTGTCCTTGTGAGCGAGAACGCATACATACAGAGATTATATATGTATACTTCAGTATATTTGTATTTCTTATATGAATGTACTTGAGCACTTGAAAGAGTGAATCTAAACGGCCATGTATTCTGTTTATTTTAGTGTACTGATTTTCCTCAGAAACTTATGGGGAAAACACCTCTTTTATCTAAACTGCCAACTGTGCAGAAAGCTCAGACACGTGAAACGGTTTTCTTTCAGGTATGTGCGCATGCTTGGTGCGCTGTACATGAGATTGACAGGCACGGCCATTGACTGCTACAAGTATCTTGAGCCGCTGTACAACGACTATCGAAAAATAAAAAGTCAGAACAGAAATGGGGGTAAGTGCTTTTACGTAGTTGTGGTTTCACAGTACCTCACAGATGACTTTTTGTTAAAAACAATATGCTAGATGAAACTATTTAGTAATGTAAGGTTAAAAACCTGTGGCATAACCAGCTTTTTGAAACCTTACTTTTACTTATTCATCCTTTGGATAGTCTGTTGCTGGCCTTGCTGACTTGTACAAAGGAGAATTGCCTTGCTTTTGCCTTGCCCACGCGCCTGTGTTTTCTGTTGGGCCCTGAAATGCAGTTCCATAAATACCAAACAAATCCTGTCTGAGCGCTGTGAATCTGCTAATCCTAGCTGTGTGGTAATTGCCTCTTTTAGCAAGATAGGCCTAATGATCTTCCTCATCTCTGAGAATGATTTTAGAACTGCTGTTTGTACAGCCCACTTGACATAAATCGTCTCAAGTGTTTCATCTTTACTCTAGCCACTAGTATTAACCTTCTTTGTCTTCTAAATGCTGTTTTTTCCCCCAGAATTTGAACTGATGCATGTGGATGAATTTATTGATGAACTACTCCACGAGGAACGTGTATGCGATATCATTCTGCCTCGATTACAGGTTTGGAAAAGTAGATGGTTATGGAATTCTTAACCGCATCAGATTCCATAGCTGTATCAGCTGCTGGCTTGTCGCATAAAGCTATGGTACAGGCCCTTCTGGCACACGAGATGCCTCCTTAGGTGTTTGTTCTTACTCAGCTTATGTAAAATAAAGTTGCCATTTCTCCTAGAAACGGTACGTTCTGGAAGAAGCTGAGCAGCTCGAGCCTCGGGTTAGTGCTTTGGAAGAAGACATGGATGATGTAGAATCTAGTGAGGAGGAGGAAGAGGAAGATGAAAAGGTTGGTGAACTGTTCTGGAAAGGGCTAGTTAACACTGGTGCTGAACCACCACAGAACACTTTATGGCCTATGAGGGGAGGCACTGAGAGACTGCTTGCAAGCCTCACCTTCCCTCTTATTTTCATGTAACCTGCTTGTGAGAACTTGCTGGAGCCTGAAACACTGCTGTGTTTGTCAGGCTTTTCTGTCTCCTGAAATACATAAATCTGGATCTGTTCTGTGTTACGTAATTTATCCGAAATATGAGAGAACTAAAGGTGATGATCAAAGTTACAATGACAGTCGTAGTCAGTTCTGCTGTACTTCTTACAAATGAACAGTACGGGAGGTGGCCATCTTAATTTCCAAATGGCAAGCTTAGGCAATACCACTCGTTTCTGAATATGAAATACTTAAGGATGGGGAAGCTTGACTGCGTGACTTTTGTCATTTACATTAATTGTTCAGAAATCCTTACTGATAAAGAAAAACCTTGATGAAATAAGACTTACAGAACCTTTCCCCCCCTGCTGTTGTTTCCAGCTGGAGCGAGCACCCTCTCCTGACCACCGCAGAAGAGGCTACAGAGACCTCGATAAACCTCGCAGATCTCCAGTTGTGCGGTACAGGCGGAGCCGAAGCAGGTCTCCAAGAAGGTGACATGGCTCTTCTTGAGCAATTTTTGTACCTGTTGTACTGCAGATGACTGGAGCAAAGCATGGGAGTGAAGATGACAATTCATCCAGAATCTCTTGCACCTCCCCATTCCTGTAGCCACTTTCTGAAGTAAGGAGTTGCTGTGCACAGCCACAGTCAACTCGTCTGCCTGTTTCTCTAGTCCTTCAGTAACTCTTGAACTTGCTGGCCAAATTTACCTAAATTTGACAATACAGTGAAGATACTGAGGAGAACCAAGTGCTGTGTTTTCATGTAAGCCAGAGGCTGCAGAGAAAGTCCTGTTAATTGTTCTTACTGATAGTAAGCCAGGAAAAACTCATCGCTGGCTCATTCGCTCACTGCATGGGCCAGTCCAGAAGCATGTACTGCCTCTCGTGCAGCAGGCCAAACACACGCTGACTGGGGACAGCGGGGAGCCCAAGGGGAGCCCTGCTGCTGGCGCTGGAGAGTACAGGATATTAAACAGCTCGTTCTGCTAATGGTTTTTAGCAACTTTTTCTTTTCTTCCCCAAATTACAGGCGAAGCCGCTCTCCAAAGAGAAGAAGGTAGTCTTTTATTCTATTATTTAACCTTAAAGTGTGTGCATTTTTAGTACGGCTGTCTTAAAAGCTTTGTTTCCTCAGTCCATCACCACGCCGGGAGAGGCATCGCAGCAAAAGCCCAAGACGACACCGGAGCAGATCCAGGGAGAGGCGGCACAGATCAAGATCTAAATCTCCAGGTATTTTTGTCATTTACAGATTAACTCTGGCAAGTCTTTACCAGCAGAACATCTGCTGCAAGAAAAATCTGTGTCATGGTATCAAGAAGGTAGCATAGGTGCTTAATCTGGCTCATAAAACTGCTAGTTATATGAAAGCACATCTGGAGAACTCCTTTAATACATGGGAAATTGCCTTGAGTATGTTTCTCATATATTTGCCAGGAGGTTAATTTGAGTGCCTAATTAAGGCTAAGGTTGTTCTGGCATTATGTAGGACACTTGGTCACTACAAGCAGATTGCATTAGCAAAACAAAAAAGAATTCCGGTGTCTATGTAAGTAACTGTTACCTTTTTATCTCATAGGGCATCATCGTAGTCACAGACACAGAAGTCATTCCAAATCCCCTGAAAGGTAAACGCTTGGCGTGTTTCTTAAGGGTGCCTGTACTGCTGTAGGAGCTTTTACTTGTCATTTAATCTTGAGGACTGAAGATCTTTGTATAATGCTGAAGATCAAATATTTCATATGGTACCTCTCTCAGTGTTGTTGTAAGTCACACTATCCATATTTGACCATAGAAAACACCATTTACTGCTACGAGTCACCTTGGTCTTTCAAAAACAACTGTGTCATAATTTTCTTTTTTTCTGTTTCAGATCTAAGAAAAGTCACAAGAAGAGTCGGCGAGGGAATGAATAGCAAACTAAACCCAGCACACAGTTTAAAGACCTTGAACTGCAGTCTGATACTGTCCCATTGGTTGTATGGGACAGCTGGATATGTACTGGCTGCTTTAGCAGTCCATTTCTTGAATCCTTCTCCTCTTGTACAAGTCTTGTTTGGTTTTTTTTAATTAAAAGAAAACTAAAGATACTTTTTATGTAGTTAGTTACTCATCCTTGTGATAGAATTTGGGGATTATTTTTAAATTGTTTTTCTCAAGACCTGTAAAAAAAATAGTGAAGAGCAATAAAAAAAAGGGGAGGGGGTTGTCTTTAAAGGCTCCTTGCTGTTTGTGTCATAATACTTTGTTTAGATGTCCCCTAGCTGAAGCTGGCTAATTCTCAAATAAGGGCGGTGTTTTGACAAACAGCCACTGCATTCAGTTGTCAGAGTATGCTTCAGCTACAAACACAGAATAGCCTCAGCTATCTTGAACCTCCAGCACAGGAGAGGAAGTAAGGCTGTCAAAATCCCGTGTGTTTACTAAAAGCAAGAGCTAACTTTTAAAATAACTCTCCAACACACAGTTGTTGGTGGTTCCTTTGTAGGAATCATCCTTAACTGTAATGATGCGCTGCTTCTGAGGCAACTATCGGACAGTTTAGAAGCTTCAAGTAGTACAAAGCACCACTTAATTCTTTTCAGGCAAGAAGTTATTCAGTATACTTAAAGAGAGTAAACCACTACTTTGAGTGTAGTTTGTGGCCTATCTGTGGCTGGGGACAGAATATGACACAACTGTGCTCAGCTCTACCTTCTCTGAATGAAGTTAGGGTTCAGCAAGTCCCTGTTCTTCAGATTAAGAATAATTAAGATCTTAACTCGAGTTACAGTTTTCATCTTAGTACATTTAATTATATATCACAGGAAATCAGTTGTGTTAAACCCCTTGCGTACCCTCCCTTTATTCACAGTCTTGCTTCAGGAGCAGGGACTGACAGGTTCATCTGAACGCTGCATTTACGGCTTCAGTATTTTCACATATTGCCCAAGGAGTGTTGACAACACAAGAAGTAGTATGTCAAGTGAATTTATGGGAAGTCCTCTTTAAAATTACTTCATAGGACAGCCTGATTTTTCTAGCATATTCTCATATTATTTTGCAAAGTTTATGAACAAAAAAGCAGGCGTACTCTTCCCTCAAATCAAGTATTCTACAAGACAGACGCACTGGCTGTGAACAGCATGTGCAACCTCACCAGCATGGGGAAAACCAGGTACGCTGACTGTATGACTCATCAGAGCGGCTCATCTTTCAGCTCTTCTTTAAGATACCTAAATTAAGGACGGTTTTATTATTCTGGTTTCCTAATTACAGTTAAATGCAAGCATGCATACAAATAGGGAGGAGGAAAAAGTCTTATGTCCTTTTTTTGCAGTTTTATTTTTCTTTTAAAAAGTTTTTTGGCACTACATAGTTCTGTAAAGAATAGAAGTGACAAATTTTTAAACACATGAAATCCCCTTCTAATTTTATTTTTTTAGAACAATATATATAAAGTCTGAAGCAACCAAAGTATGAATACAGCTAATAGAAAATAAAGAACTTAATTTTAAAAATTCTCTCTCTTTACAGTTTTATCAAGATAAAACAAAACACAATTCCCCTTAAAAATAGGGTAATAAAATAGATGAAATTTGTATCACTCAGTTTTGTGATACTAGTAAAAACTATAGTTCATATCTATGTACAAATGATACAGTTTAAAAAGTCTTAAATAATCTTGTATCTAAACACGTTGCATTAAGATTTTAAATCAGAACCTGAATTTTTTCCTCCCCCCCCCACCCCGACAATCCCATTAAATTTCACTTTTTCTGTTGAATGTAATTCAGATTCAAGTGTGGGTGTCCTTGAGACAGAAGCGAGAACCGCTGGTTACTCTGCATCAGTGGACCAGCTAAAAGAAAATGGATTACCATTAATTCAGCAAATTAAATATATTTAACAGTGCTTGGCTATATTCAATGTACTAATCTCACTTAGAAATAAAGCCCTTTACTAGACTGACACAAATGCTATCTGTACAGCTAACCCATTTAATGGGACAACGCAATATTACTTTAATCCTACCTCCAGAATTCCCTCAGAATCATCACTGCATCATTTTGTTGCATTGCTTTAGTTATTTAACAAAAATAATTTCAAGATTTTTAAATACGGGTCTCACTTGGAAACCGACGGATTAGAGTTTGAAAAAAGGATTTGGTGGCAGTATCTCATTTTACACCAGGCCACCCAGCAACACGGTAACTGCAAAGTCTCCCAAGTAAAATTTGGGCACAGTTTTTCTCTTAGTGGAGCCAAGGGTCTTTTTCCTACAGCCCTTCCCAATCCTCCCCAACACTGAATGCCTTTACCATTCACTAGCATCAGAAAGAGTTGAGACATCGTCAGTCCTCCAAAGTACCCTGAATAACTGAACCTGATCTAACTTGGAAGTTGGCGCTGCTCTGACTGCAGATGGGTCGGACTAAGATAACCTCCACAGGTCCCTTCCAACCTGCATTATTCTGTGGTCTCATACATTTTTAGCCATGTAAGTCACTCCACAAGGCAAGGTACAAAAGCCAAATGAAATTAATTAGGACAAAAACTTCTTCATATTCTGAACATGCTCATGGGCAAATCATCTTGACCTCTATTGAAGCAGAGGTGGCTTTACAGTGAAACAGCAGCAGTGAAGGAGAAAGAGGCTGAAGTACAACAGACTGCAAATCGGCTCAGATTTCAGAATTTGATTTAATCCCTTCCCTCCCCACCAAGATTTTCATCCATCCACACAGGAAGCCGAAGCGTTGATTTGACTCTTGGATTCACTATGGTTCCAGGGAGCCTGGCAAGTGAAACATGATTCCTTGGCTTTTAAAGCCTTTGAGACAGCAAAGAGACATGTTGCATGAGCTGTTGATTCATATACTAGTTCTAGTACCTTGAGGGTAGAAAGGTTTGTTCGGTGGGTAGCTGGCATTTCCCTGCTGCATGTAGTTCTGAGGCATATTGTAAGGCCACGCTCCTCGGAGGAGAGGAAAATGGGTAGGGGTCCCATGGTCCCAAGGGACAGAAGGAGGGTTCATTTTACCAAACTGTCCTTGGAAACCCTGATCTATTTTTCAATTGAAAGGGAAAAGCACATTGCAAGTTGAAATAATTAAACAGTCAGTCACAAACACAATTTACATCTTAAATAACAGTTTGCAGGGGACTTAATGTGATGAGTCTGATGTGCTACTCTTTTATTTCTTTTTTAAATGTACATCAATAAAAATTACCACCTAAATTACTTCATTATTCACTATAATAGAAAATATTGGGGAGGAAGACAGGATGAATCAGTATTAAAACCAAATTTGGACGTACAGTTTCACTATTCCTACTTGTTCTCATGATGAAAAATGCAAGGTCTGCACAATGTTACCACTATCTGATCCCGCACAGATACTCACAATCACTGACACAGCTGTGACATGAAAGCTATTATCCTACTGCAAGAAATAATTCTCAGATGTACATTGGAATTCCACTAATAGTTGTACGCTTAAGAAACTTGATATTTAGATCGGACCAATTTAAAAATTATTTTTAGAGAGAATAAGAAAAACTTTTGAAGTACACAAATTGTAAGCTGTTCCATTTCCAAATCCAGTATTACTGCAGCACTGACGATGAGAAATCAAGCATCCAAGGATGCAGGACACACAACAGTTGATGCCAAATGCTCTATTACTAATCCTGCTCTTTTTGTCCAGAGCTCCCAGTTTTATGAGACACGGCAATGCCAGCTAATTTAAAAAACTTGATCAATGTACATTTTAAAATAAATAAATAAATTTAAGTAATTATCATTCTCAGTATACCAGTTCCCCTTCAGGCTCATTGTAAAAAAAAAAGACTTGCAGACAGACATTCATTAAATGAAAGTGAGCTACGCGTTTACAAAGCATAGTAACTTTTATACAACCAAACATGAAGCATGGCTCTGGAGTATGCATAAAAAAAGTTGTCTGCATGAAACTTCTAATGATCCTACTTCTGATCGATTATCTACTGAAAAGAAAGTAAAGTCGCTCCTTCCAAGTCAAGGCTACATGAGCCAAGACAAAGTTTCCATGAACTTACTGTTCTCAAACTGTCCTGAGCAAGTAAGAAAGTAGGCTTCACACAGAGAGCAGACAGCTCATCTCCACTGCGCGCCTACCCAATGACCCCGCCTTAATGGCATCTAAGCCAAAAAGGAAACAAAACTGATCAAAATACACAGAGGAAACATACCAGGACTGGCAACTAGGACAGGGAGCGTGATGAGATTGGAAATAGATGGAAGTTGAGGGAAGGGGGAAAAAAAAAATACCGTGACCAACAGAAAACTGGGAAACCTTCTGTGCAGGCACAATGAGAATGGAAGCAAACAAACTGAAATAGAGCAGAAGAAGAAAGACTGAAGAGGGAGACTGACAGACGACATGGTAAGAAATGGGACTCGTTAAGGGAGAATGGAGCAGAACCTAGGATTTGGGGAGCTTGTTTGAAAGAAGGCAGCTTCCTGGGTAAGAAGACTTGGATTGGAAGGAGCTGCCTGAGAAAAACTCAGAGCTGGGCTGGACATGGAGGAGGGGACAGATGAGCCTGGACAGAGAATTAAGATCAGAAATAGAGAGGTACGGACAAAGCACACTGGAGGCACAGAAAAGGCACCGGTAGCAGTTTCTGTATCCTCTAAAATATATTCCCCACAAACCTCTGAATAGAAAAACATGCATCTCCAGCATCTCAACAAGTATCTGAAACTCACTGGCAAATTCTACCTCATCCAACACCGCTGACTCAGCCGAAAATCTACTGTTGCTGTTAATCACCTCCTTAGCACAGAGAAAGGCTGTGTGGGAGATTCAAAGCTTCCACCTCATGAGGAACAACTGCATCAGTATATTGCATGATGGATATTTTTTTTTTAATAGGAGGAGTTACACACTCAGAATAAATTAAAAGACGACTATCACGAACTAAAGATCACAGTTAAAATTTAGGGGCTGCCATGGTTAATGCTGTACAGAAAACTGTATAGGCTTTAATTACTACATACTGTTCTACCCTGCTTCAAACATACAAATGTACTTGGCTTCGGTATAAGGCAAAAGGATGTCGCCCACTTGTTGCAGGGAAAATCTGTCTGAAGTATTTTGAGGAAACGAAATCAAGATTATGGAAGCTAAACATGGCAGAAAAAAAACACAGGAAAAAAATGCATAAGATCATGTTATATTGCACTAAATGCAACGAGGCAATATCCAACTTGCACAACCTACTTCTGCCAGCCTCTAAGTTCGTAGCTGCAGTCTCAGCATTCATCTAATAAACTACACAACAACATAAATGGAAAGGGTATTTGTAAATATATTCACAGAAATGTGCTTTAGACTCAAACAATTACTAGAACATTTCTCAGTTGAATGCATGATTTCTCACGTGTCGCACAGCCGTTACTGGCAGATAGGACCAATGCCAAAAAGTTACAACGATCCAACGTGCCTAATTTTTTTCCTATGAAAATGTTCAGACAGTGAAGGTAATGACTTAGTTTCTTAAGCATTGTATTTTTAATATAAAACAAGTTGAAAGAGTTAGCTGTTTCTGTAACACTTAACGCTTGTACACAAAGTGCGAGAGGTTTGATACAACAGAGAAGAGTTACCTGAATTCCCCACAGTGCCATTGTTCACCAGTGAGTTTGGAGTCACAGGATTGTGCCAGTGTCCCTCATGAGAAGTGCTGGGGATTCCCATGGGCCTGGCAGCAGGCTGTGCAAAGATGATACTGGGATCATTCAAGCTTACACTGCTCTGGTTATTTGTGGTGCTGCTGCTGCCAGATCTCATAGAAAATGGAACATTTGTAGAATGAGGAGGGTTACCCGGTGCAGAGTGAATAACGGGCCCGTGAATAGGCCAAGAAGTGTTGGGAAGCTGAATTTGGTGGTGATGGTGCATCTGAAGTAGTCCCAGGTTATGCAAGGTGGAATACTGACCTGGGGGAGATTGGGGAAAGTTAAACAAAGGCAGCTGGACCTGATGGGGTGGCTGCGCACCCTGCTGTGGTTGCGGAACGTGCTTAGACTGGGATATTGGTTGTGGCTGAGTCTGGTTAATGGAGGCTGGCTGAGAGGAATTCTGTGTAAATTGTTGAGGCTGTGGAGAGTAAGATGACTGATGCGAATCAGACTGGAGGGGAAAAAAAAGTATGTATTTCTGATTAGTTCACTAGCTATTTAATGGTGTTTTTCTTTAATAAGCACCCACTGTAAGTGCAGTTTCACTGACACTGATCTTTACCATCAGACAATTTGGTCTGTTAATGTGGCACGTCCCATCAGAAACATAATTCCGAGCAAACATTAGCCCCAAGCTCTTCATTAGACTCCTTACACATCTGTTTCTGATTTTTGATCAGTGTCTTCCCCACCCTACTTATTTACAGCCCAGAATCTTCATTAACTAATTTCCTTACTTCTAAATAGAGTGGTTCTTATGACTACAGACACTTTTTAAAGTAATACCAAAGTAACCTCCTAGTACTTCTTTAATTTTTACTTAATCTGTTAAACAAGAACTTGAAAATCCAAAAACACAGTTTCAACCTCTGTATCCTGATGTTAGGCCATGGCTAAAAGCACAGAAATAGCAATTATTACAGCCTTTGCAGAGCTCTTGCAAAGCTTTCCCTTTCACCAGCAACAGGAACAGGCGTGAGCCTATTTCATCTGTTTGGTATTGCAACTAAGCAGAGAAGCACTTCAAGAACTAGGGTGGCTCGTTTTCCCAGTTTATCTGCCAAAATTTATTACCAATGTCTGAATTAAACTGATCTGTTTTTAAGCACTGAGATGAGATAGAGATGGCATAAGACAGGCACCTCCAAAGAGAAATACAAATGACAGACAGCTACCTAAACCAGAAATTATTACCTAAATCTCAATCTCCCCCTGGAGTTGCCTGTCTCCCCTCCACAGACTACAGCAGACGGCTAAGCTCCAAGTAACTCAGCTGCTGTCAAACTACCAAAGTTAAGGGTCTCTGCAGCTTGTCTCTATCCATGACTGCTCGCCTGTCCATTTAAACTGGCAGTCGGTTTTCTTCAGTAACGAGAGTTCTGCAGGACTCCCCCGTGCCAGCCTTTCAGAGCATTCCTTATAGCAGCACGCTGGGTGTCTTTGCCTGGGCACAAGCTGAAGCCCAGAAGCTGGGATTGCTCCCTGCTGCTATTCCAACTGTTCCTGTACGAGTGCCTCCTATGCCTTTCTACCAAACCAGGAAGAGAAGGTAAAACCTAGGATCTGAAAGACAACAACTAGTTTAAAGTTTAACTGTTATAAAGACAGAGCACATGCACTGACTACAGCCTTCCTGCAAACATGAGACCACCACAAGCATGGTGGACATGCCAGCAGCCAGAGAAGAGAAATGTTAAACTCCAGCCTCTTAGTCTGCTTCCACAGTCCTGCTTTCCCCTTTTCTCTCCCTCTTGCTCCACTAACATTCCCCATTCCCATTCTCCTCAAAACAATCCCTGTACAGCACCTATTTACCAATAACTCTTGGCCAAATGACAGCCATACAACACACACACACAGAGTCCATGACACCCGGATGACACAGGAATGTGCACATGCAGCAGGTCCAGTGTGCACGATGCGCCTGAATGCGTGTGCACCCACATGTCCAGCTTCAACTTCCCAAGCAGAAGTAGAGGCTCCTAGAAAGATACTCCTGTGTCATGTGACAGCAGAGTGGCAGTTCAGCCCTTCACTTAGATTAGGGCTGCATCAGTCCCTCCTCAACAGCATATTATCATAGTAAAAATTATGTCATAAAGTCTCTGTTACTGGAGCAAACATTTCAGTAAATGCTTGCTGATCAGTTAGGAAATACTCTGTAACTAAAATAGTCAACTGAACAAAGAGCATTAGTGATCAGCAGCCCCAATTACTATGTTTGCTTACTTGCCAGCTTCATTAACAGGCACGTTTCTCAGACTAATAGCTTAAAATTAATGAATTTTGCTGTATTCTGTACTCCAAAATCATTAAATGCCAACAGCTGTATTTGCTCAAATACCTTCTGCTATCCATCTCCACTCAGAAGCAGGTTAAACATATTTTATCTACTTCTACAGAGACTTGAACAAATTCTAACAGAACTATCAAAAATTTCCCCGTTCTTCTCCTTGTGCTTCTAGTGTGCTCTGGCAGACTTTGGCTCTGTGTATCACATCTGAACTGCAGTATGAGTCATCTGTGTTCCTTGCCTGTTCACGACAGTCCCTTAAGACAAGTCTCTTCAACCAGAGAATCACGACAGCCACAAACCTAAGTCTCCAGCATGTTAACAATGAGCTAAGCTTTACTTCCTTTAGTAACTCCAGAACATTGCCAAAACTAAGCACAAGACTTCAGAAGGCATCCTATCTTAAACCTCAAAGATAGTGAAGCTGACCTTTCAGAATTGCAAGCTATCTCGTAAGAAATTTTGACTATGTAGTTTCCACATTGAGAGACCATAAATGCTCTGCAAGAGACACTACATTATGAATCAAAGTTTCACTAACTGGCAGACTGCAGTGTTGTCATTATAAAGCCCAGAATCTGCTAAGAAATACTGCAAACCTGTTCCTAGCATGGCCCAGGATTGCTGGTTTGCTACAGCTTGCTCACTTCAATACTATAGCTGATTGGAACTTACACATTCTGATGGCTGTCTAGCGCGCAAGGGTCGCTCCACTTGCTGCTGACTCACAGCCACTAGCTGTGAATTGACCATGCTTCGGACCAACTGGGTGCCTAATCAAGGAACAAAAACGTTAATAAAAACCACAAGGTTATGGATGACAGCATAACGAACACCGAACTGGGAGTCAGTGATACCTCCTTAACTCTCACGTGACACAGAGCAGGTAAATCACTTTAACCTCTCCTCTAAGTGGAAACCTTTCCCTCTACTGGCAATAGCCAACATTAATAGTTACAGCAGCTAAACCCAAAATCTAACTCTGAGTAATACAAATTCCAGCATGAACAAAGTTCACTTTGCTATCAGGTGTGATTGCTACTTTATGCACAAACTTTTGGGCAAAGAAAGGAGAAAAAAAAAAAAAAGAGAGAGAAAGGGAGTGAGGGATATCAGAATACAGAAAAGCAGCAAGGTTCTCTCTGAACTTCATTTACGATTGCTTTCTCCACTTTTTCAAGTACTGCAGACACCTAAGGGCCTAATTTGAATGGGTTTGCAATTAGACTTGTCTCTAATTACTAATCGTAATTTGAAAGCTGGATGTAGCTTCCTAATGCATCTGTAGGCTTTTGGAAGTGTTACATTAAGACCACTGATTTTTGATGAAAATACATTTACTTACCTCTCACAGATGATGGAGGGTTAGCTAACATTTGAGAAACATTTGGAAGAGGAAATGCATTCAATTATTACTACTCCTAAATGCACCCATTGTGAGTGGAAGACAAATAATGCAATATTCTAGAGTACACTATATTTACTGCTGAGTACATTTTTACCACCCATGCAAAGATTGTACTTCAGGAGGCATTACTCCCCTTGAAGAAAAGTGATACATAGACTAAAAGCTGTATTTGCAATGACTGAAATTATCAGTTGCAGAAATTTTTTTAAGATAATTACCACGTCTGTACAGAAACTTAACGAGAAAGGATCTCAGAACTTTCCAATTATACTAACAACTCCTAAAGTAACTTACCTGGCATACTATTATTTCTTTGACGGGTTTGTTTGAATTCAGGACAATCTCTTCTAACGTGACCCACATCCCCACAGATGAAACATCTTTTCTCTCTTGTTTCTCTGTCATCTTCTTTCACTTCTTTTTCATCATCTTTCTCATTCTCCTTTTTCTTCAACCTGAATAATAATTTTTATTAGCAATATCACAAAACCACACACACACACAAAAAACCTCTGTAGAGTTGTTATACTGGTATGTTCAAAGGAAACGGTTACATAACCAACAGCTGTACCAGAATACAAATATCTCAGGAATCACAGAAAACCACTTTCAGAATCTGGGCTGGTTAACAACCTGTTTATATAAATTCAGAAGTTCCCCAGAACTGTCCAGAAACTATCTGACTGTATTAGCACAGAACTATACCTGCAGTCAAGCAGGTTTAGCCTGATGGTTTGGGAGTAGTTCTATGCAACAATCCCACTGAGGCAGAACATACACAAAACGAGTTAGCTGTATCTTGTAGATATAACCTCCCCCTGACTGGAGATGGCATATTTCTCTATAAGAGTATATTAGCATCCTGAGCCTAGACAGGATGTGAAAGAAAGCACTGAGGCTCTTTCAAACACTCAGTACTAATAGAATAAACAGGAGAAGAACTAGTGACCAGGACCCAAGACAGGAAATAAAAGTCTTTTTCCACCTGCTATCTGTAGGATTGTTAAAATACTAATGCTGTTTTGTGAGCTGCATATACAATTTGAGAGAGATTCTGTGTGGCTGTGCTGTAGTAGCAGTTTGTGTGAAGAGCAGATCACAACTTATTTTCCTGAGGCAGATGTAGGGAGAGAAGTGATGAAAATGAGTGTGCTAGTGCTTGTGAGGACTATGTTAAGGGAGTGGCTGAAAGACGCAGTCAACCTGTGACCTGAGTGTTCCAGTCCAGTTTCACGTATCTTGAACTCTGCTGACTGAACAAAAAGCTGCAAATGAGGACTTTGGAGCAGGAAGAGACCAAGAATCTTCTGAAAAAATATGGCACGCACAACTGAAGATAAGGAGTAAATGAAAACAGCCCAGACTTTAGTCTGCATTCCAAGAGCTTCAACAGATTTTAGGAGAAGTCAGACAACCTACACCGAGTGAGTCATTACAAATCCAAAACCGTAAAAACATGAGGAGTGCACATTCTCTGTCAGTTCCTGCTG